GGATGGGATAATACCATTCTCTAAGTTATACAGGGAACACGACAAAATAGAGGAAAACAAAATCAGTAAGGAAAGGAAACGAGAATGTGTCCTTCAGGGGTAATTTTTAAGAAGCACTGTAAAGCAAGAGTTAGAAGAGACAGGTGTGTGGATAGTTCACATATGAAGCCAGTAAAAGCGCATATACAACAAGAGGAGGCCATTTGGAAGGGCAATCACTTGCCAGCAGTAGACCTCAATCAAAGACAAGACATTTTTATACCTACAGAAATTAATATGCAATCTTTGAAAGGAAAAAGATAACAATTTTATTTGGTATTGCTGCCCTCATCTGCAGCCAAAACCATTCATTTCAAACCCACTTGCACAAGACTAGAAGAATACAGAGGCAATAGGAAAAAACTATCATCTCAGCCCAAAGCCCACCTAAATGATACACTAAAACAAAGTTTTACATCCCCCAGTAACACACTCTCCCTTTTCAATATCTTTGCCCATCCCATAGGAGTCAGAGGAATGGGGAGGGCACAGCTACACAATCAGCTTCACAGGTTGGCGTAGGAGGAGTCTTCACCCTGCCACCCTCACTGGCACCACAGCTCCCAGGCCCTGCCAGCACTGCCTGCTGTGCCTTTGAAGAGCCACAATGCATTTCTGTGGAGCACTGCTAAAATTTACTGATGGGATGCAAATGACAGAAGCTGGCAAAATACTGCTCATAAACAGTTTGGGACCCATCTTTATGGAAAGGGAATTATAAAAATAAATTAATTGTGGCACAAACAGGCACAACAGCATCAACTTCAATTACATTATATCAGTATGTACCAGTTGTGAATTCTGTTGCTCTTGAAATTTTGGAATCACACTTGCCACTAGCTTAAACCAGTTTATGTTGATAAAGCTTTTCATTATACCCATAGAAAAGATCAAGACCTAGGCATATCAGATTTTGGCTACTGAAAGAAAAAAAAAATAATTTCATGCATGACATAATTCAATGTTTGTTCTTAAATAATCAATCAACAGATTCATACAGAACCCTGACTTTTACAGAACTCTAGATCAGATAGCAAAAATGCAGCACTAAAAAATACTGATATCCATCTCATGTTAAACCAAGAGGAATACCAGCAGGGTGAGGTTGTTGGATTTTGACTGCTGCCATGAAAAATTGAAGAGTGAAGTTCCTGTCACTGCTCACTGTATTTTATTGCTTCTCATCAAGTATACTTACCCCAACAGTCACCATTCAAGTAATCAACTGGGAATTTAGTAAAGTAGTTAATTTAGAGAAAGTACAGGTGTGTCATGCAACCTTTGCAAGAAGTATCTGGGCCATCATTCCTTTGTTTTTGCACTCTTCCCTAAAACTCAGTTGGTGCAATCTTCATCTTAAAAGTCAGCTTAGCTCCATCAATGCTACAAGTCTGTCTCTCTCCTTCCTTTAAATGGACAATTTAACACAGAGAAAACAATTGCTAAACATCTGGTCAGTGATGTGTCACAAATGCAGTCTCGAAATAAGATATGGATGCCAACCAAGCAATTAGGCTAACTAAACTGGAAATAGCCAAGAAGGTGTTGGGGTACTGCCCAAGCCTGCAGCCTTCAACACAAGACCAGACAGTTTTCTAAATTACGTGCTTTGATTCAGTACTTTGGAGATGATCTTTGGCTTGTGTAGAGAGAAAGAACAAAAATCCACATCCTTTGGGTTGGTGCACAACAGAAAAAAAGAAAACAGCTTGCCACACCCTCAAGATACTCATAACATTTCTGACCTACAGCAGACAATTAGATAATCAATACAACCCAGTCTCATGCTTTTAGACCTCCACAGTTACCTGTGGGGAAGGAAGGATACTTCCCCTCTCAGTGGATGCGATTGGCTCAGGCAAGGGATGGGAAGGTAATGTCCCTTCTGTGAGCACAGACACTGCTCCAACCAGCCAACCTAAGTTAAAATACACTCTAGAATTTGTCATCTGTTTATTCTGGGATTTATAGTTTTGCAATGTAAGCATATAAAACACATGCTGGTAAACAGAGAAAATATAGAGACTCAGCTATTCTTCTGTCAAAACAGACTCAGTCAGAAATACAGACAAAAAAGATATCTTTGCTAAAGACTCCAGGGCAAAAGCCTTGTGCTATATCAGAAATCATGTTCTTTGTATGCAGCTTGCTTCCCTAGTCATTGAGCAGTGTAGTAAAACCTTCAGACAGAAATAAAAGGCACAGTCACAGGGTCACTCACTTGTGGTGGACCCACCTCCCCAGCTTCCCAGAGAGTCTGGCATCAGCTGCAGTGGGTACATACAAGGAAAGCAGGTTCTGAAGATGCAGAAGGCTTTACTTGACAGTGTTTCTCTATATTACTTCTATAAGGTCACAATAAATCTCGTTATGCAAATCAACTTAAAAACATGAGGTACTTTCTTGACAGATGCTGAGTGCTGAAAGATTCTGCTATCATTTACTGTCCAATGTCTGAACCATAAATCAAAAAGTTGATCGTCCTGAAAAAGTCTTGCTGTCTACAAATCCAAACTCATATTCAGAATTTATTTTCTCAATTTCCAACATAAATCTTATAACCTTTCAAGGCTTAATTATCTCTTCATCATGTGCTGATTACAGAAGTACTATTCCTTGCAAAGCAAAGCTTCAGAACATGATGTACCCCTGCAGTGTGGGCAGGGAGTAAGAAGCCATGACTGAAGCTCTCAGATGTTAGGGCACCGAAGTTTTCCGTCACTAGGAGGTGAATTTCCTGACACTCTGAATCCTTAAGAACTTTCAGACAACTGTAAACATTCCTTAATAGGAGTTTCCAGAAACTGAGACAGCAAAATCTGGGCAAGGCCAAAAATGTGACCCTTGCCAAGTTATTTGCAAAGATGGCAGCAAGCATAAGATCTGGAAGAAGACAAAGCAGGCATCTGAGCAGGCCAGCAGACTGCTGGGCCCGCAGAGGACTTTCCTTCCTGCTATGTCTATGTGGGAAAAACCACATCTGCTGTTTTGCTTGGCACTTATGGAAGAGCCAGGCTGTGTACGTGGCAGCGACTGCTGGACAGAGTAGCCCATCCTTGTCATTCTCAAGGCAGGACTGGCAAGCTTGGATCTATGCTCACCCTTTTCTTTTTTCTCTTGTTTTTCTTCAGGTGGACTGGCAAGCCCCAGGATCTTTGTTCTTGTGGCAGCAAAATTCAACTATGCTACACAGCTGAGAAGCTTTATATTAGTCTGAGTGCTGACCACTCTGCTATTTAAGTTACATATTCACTGTAAAACAGCTTACACTCTCTGAGTACAGCACCCCACATCAAGAAAGCCTCAAAGCTTCTTACAAACCTTAGTCATGTAAAAATGAATCAATTAACTTGTCATTTCAGTGCAGCCACTTCAGGGGGTGAAAAGCGTTGTCACATTGTGTAGGTTTATTTAAACTGCTACGAATTATTAGAAAGATGAAAGAGAGCTACAGAAACTGGAATGCAGCAAGAAGCAAGACTTATAACTGCCATGAACTAGCCAAATGCACCAGGCATCTTCAATGATGGCAGAGGAACAGGACTACAGCAGTGCGGCCAGTCTGAGCAACTGGCAGGTTTGTAAATCTCCTCACAACTACTGCAATAATCCTGGGTAGGAGAGAAAACAAACACTTTGGAATATCTATATCAGGGAGAATACAAAGGCAAATGTCCTTCGTTACCGAGCAAACACAAAGGGGAAAGGGGGTGGTGAGCATTTCAGCTCTCACAGTACAGAAGATCAGGGGTTATAAAATTATGAATTGGAATCGTTCTAAAAAAAACCCCAAAAGCATTACTTAATGCCATAATTTGAAGCAGGAGATCTGTGAAAAACAAACGTGGACAGTCTTGTACCTAAACATTTATGAGTCACCAAGAAGTACGAGTTGAAAAATCAGAATAACTATTGCAGAAACCCATTATCTGAAGTGTTGCTATAAGCATTCAAAAATGCCCGTATAAAGAGATTCAAGTTAGAGGAAAAGTGATTTCAGAAAAGGTGAAAACACTTCCCTATCATTTTCCCAATCTTTAGTATCAGCACATACTTTCATCAAGTTCCTATGATGAAAATTGAAAAGCAGGATTAGGAAAATGCTCCTTTATTAGTCATAGCTTCTTCCTCAACAACGGAAGCATAACTCACTTGGAAAATGTTACTTTGCTTCCTTAACCAACTACATGATCCTCCAGTGATTTTGTTTTCTTGATGGAACAAGAGGGAAAAATCTAAAACGGCAATCTGCTCAGTAGTTCTG